GACAGCAACTTGTCTGTTCCCCTTCCCCCAATTCCCCAGCGCTGTTCCCATCCCCCAATTCCCCAATAAAAATCTTAAAATATTTACGATTCATAAATAGCAAAATTACAGTTATAGAGTAGCAACGAAAATAATTTTATGGTTGGGGTCACCACAATATGAGGAACTGTATTAAGGGGTTGCGGCATTAGGAAGGTTGAGAACCGCTGGAAGCTATCAACAGGAACAATGGCTTGATGCCTGGTTCGTTGCAGGGCTTCAGTTGATTGCAACCACTGAAGTGTGTTAAGGAAGGTAAGAGAGAGAGGTGGCTGGGGCCAAATCTCACCTCCCAGGGCAGTTTCTAGGAGATGCAGAAGAGGAATTCTGACCTGATCCCTTTCACCTAAAAAACCAGGGAGCTACTTGGACTGAGGTTAGTCCCACTGTTTCTTAAATACCAGTCAGGCAGAAACACTGGCCTGGCTGTCCACTGAGCAAGGGAAGTTGGCCTCTGCTTGTATGCTCCCTCCCCTTCAAAGCCAGGAGAAGGGATACTATCCTTCCTTCAGTGGAGACGAATTACTTATGGAAGGAAGGGCAGAAGCCATGGGCAGGAATAGGGTGTGTGTGGGTGGAGGGGGGAGAGGGAAAGAGGGGGAGAGGTGTGATGTGCAAAGGGAAAAAAAGGTCAGGTTGAGAGAAATGGTTCTGGGCCTTTGTACTACATGATGGGCATATTAACCTTATCCTCGCCCCCACGATAGGACAAGCCAAGGTTCTCCAACAAAGAGAGCAGTGGTGGGTGGCTAGAGACAAGATTGCCATGGAAGTATAAAGAATATTTATTAGATTTTTTACGTTGTAACTGGTTTTGGCTCTGGTCTAAATAAACATATTGAGGTCTCTGGGTTTTTCTTCCCCCTCTAATGCAGAGACTTGTCTGGACAAATGAGAAATGATGTAAGGGGGCAGATAGTGGTAAGACCCCTTCTGAGCCAGAGTTAGTGGATAAGGATAGGTCCTTTGGAGGTAACAATGATGCCTCCCTAGGACCAGGAACACTAGAAGCCTTGAACCCATGACCTTTCTGATCCCTGACACTGGTAACGCCTCCCAGTAAACAGAGCATAGAGACTGAACTCTAGGTATTCCAGAAAAAGTTGTAGGTACACTTTACCTTTTGTTGTTCAGATCAACCTTGTTACCGATCAAAATGAAGACTACATCATCACCTCTCTGCCCAAACATCTACCCACTTACCTGTCTCCTTGAAAGAATTGGGTGTGTATAAGAGAATGTGTTGCAAAGCGTTGAAAGATTTAGTAGAGGTTTGGGGAGAATAATGTACCTGTCTTTCCTCTCTGCCAGCCTTACCAGCTCCCTGTTGCTTCCCTCAATCCCCTTTTCAAATAAAACATGGCATGACACCCCCTTGTGATGTCATAGACAACCACTGCAATGGTTGAATCATGAATGTAGCTGGGAATTACTGTATTTCCCCATGTATAAGACACACCTTTTTTTGAAAAATTTGGGGTCTAAAAACTGGGTGCGCCTTATACAGTGGTTGTAGGGTTTTTTTTACTTGCATTTCCCACTTTTTTGCGCTTGTTTTTGTGCTCATACAAGCAGCAATAGTCTCCCTTTGAAAGGAGAAGAAAAGAAGAACTTAAGCTAGGCTTGCCAACTAAGGGAACTTTCATTACCAAGAGTACCTTGTATAATCCCACAAACCTACTGGATTATCCAAGATCCTCTTGTGGGTATCCTCCCTCTAGTTCTCATGGGAATCCCCCCATTTATCTATGTCAGCCCTCACCTTGACCTTTCTGTCCTGGGCACTTACCTACATCCTACTTTCCCCTACCCTCTCCTGGGCTTCCAGGCCCCAACCCTCTTCCCAGCACCCCACCCCTTCACTCTCTGACCCTGGCCCCAGTGTCAGCTCACATGGACACAGTCTTGGAGTACTTGTCTAGTGAATACAGGACAACACCTGTGATCTGGTCAACTGAGCAGCCAGGAAAAGCACATGACTATAATTAGTCAATCATCCTTGGAACCCCAACTCACGGCCCTCAGATGTGACCTTATATATGGGCACATTATACATGATGCACTAAGATGTGCTCCTGGACAAAGAGAAGCATTTTGATAAGCCTGCATTGGAGGGAAAGCCTAGATGAATGCCGACTGGCTATGTGGGGCAGTTTTGAAAACAGACCTGTGGATTTGGGACCAGGAGCAGGGGGATAGGAAAAGAAGCTCACTTGAGATCTTGATATTTTTTTTCAAAGATTTTATTGGGGAATTGGGGAAGGGGAACAGACAAGTTGCTGTCGTTTTGTTCTTCAGTCTAGTTGTGGAGGACGTTGCTTCACTGGCCCAAGTTGGAACCATCATTGAGCTCTTCCCGGGTGAGGCAGATCCGTCGCCGGCTTCTGGACGGCCGCTCACTGCGGCTGCTGGCCGCTCACGCTGGCTGCTGGCTACACACGGTAGCCCATGGCAACCCACTACAGCAGGGGCTGCAGCTAGACTCATGGCAGCCCAGCTCCAGGTTGAGCTGTTGTTCAGCATCTTAGCTGTGGAAGGCAGCGTCACTGGCCCTCATATGTGGGATCCGAACCGGGGCCCTCTGGCATCCCAAGCCAGTTCTTTACCAATCCACCACTCGGCCGGCCCGAGATCTTGATATTTTGATGACCTTGTTGGTGCGGTTGTTGATAGAAACATCGACAGAGATGGGTTTGCCATGGTAGTGAACCTGAAGCAGGAGGGGAGAAGCCCATCACAAGGTTGGAGAGAGAATGCCAAGATCAAGACCTATAATTCCTGTTTCCTTAGCACTGTTGCTACTCTGGCTTCCATCCCTGTCTCTCTAAGTAGGAAATCAGTGAGGAAAGGGTTTCAGAGGGGTTGCAGAGTAGGGGCAGGAAGTGGGGGTAACAAACCTTCCTCTCTGTCCAGGCCCGTAGTTGTAGGGGCTGAGCTGACAGAAGGAAGCAGCGGATGGTCTGGACCCAGGGGCCAGGGCCTGGCTCCAGGGGTGCAAACTGCACTTTTTGAATCACCAGCTACACAGAGTCTCTGAGTAGGGGCCAAGGGCTTAGTCAGCACATCTCCTTTGGGACCCACAGACCTTTCCCATGCCAATCCCATAGCCTAGTCCTTGCTTGTGGAGTGGAGGTGGGTGAAGACCCCTCTCAGAGAGCTCTACACCCCCAATGCAGGTATCTAGACCAGGGGTCAGCAAACTGGCTCACTGCCAAATCTGGCCTGCTGCCTGGCTTTTATGGCCCACAAGTTAAGAATGGTTATTACATTTTTCAATGGTTGAAAAAAATCAAAGAACAGTATTTCATGATGTTGAAATTATATAAAATTCCAAGTTCAGTGTCCATAAATACAGTTGTGTTGGAACACAGCCATGCTTATTTATGTGCGCGCTCCCTGTGGCTCCTTTCACACTACAATGGGCAGCCTTAAGTAGCTCCAACAGGCGCTAGATGCCTCACAGAGCCCGAGTAGTTACTTTTGGGCCCTTTACAGAAAAGCTTGCTGACCCTTCCCTAAGAGCAAAGAAAAGACAGAAGGGGCTCAGGACTGCGCATCCAAGTTGGTGGCGCTGGTGCCTGGGAGGTTAGAAATAGGGCTGTTTCCATCTTGAGAGCGAGGTCTAGATTTTGGAGAAGACCAAAGAATACCTCTTGGGGATTTTGGCCTCCAGATTGCCAGCACAGAAACTTTGCTTCAAAGCCAACCCCACAGGCCTGTAAAAAGACAAAGGCAAGGGAACCCATTTCTAACACTGTACCTCTGTTCCTCATAAACCGAAGGAATGTCTTTCCCCACCATTAGCTGTGTATTTCCCCAGGCTTGTCCATGTGTCCCTCTGTTGCTCCTCCCAGCACTTCTCCCTTTCTCAGAACCCAGACCTCATTTTTCCTGTATCTTCAGGACCTGGCGGCAGTATCACTGAATATGGCAGGTTGACAACCATCTAGGGCAGCGCAGTATCACTGAACATGGCAGGTTGACAACCATCTAGGGCAGTGGTTCTCAACCTGTGGGTCGCGACCCTTTGGGGGTCGAACGACCCTTTCACAGGGGTTGCCGGGTAATCGTATGTGGGCGTATCTGCATGTGGGCCTGGAGATGGATAGAGGAGCGGTGTCTCGGTTCCTAAGATCATCGAAAATATGTGTTTTCCGATGGTCTTAGGCGACCCCTGTGAAAGGTTGAGAACCGCTGATCTAGGGGATCAGAAGGAGGTCAGCAAACCAAAGAAATAGGGACCCCTTTCCTCTGTTGTTCTTTAGCTTCTGTCCAGGACTTGGGGTCAGTACCTGCAGGGTAAAGGGTTAGGTATTGCCCCCCAGCGTGTGCAGCCATCGCTCCTGCAGGACTGTGAGGGGCCTCTGGGGGCTGGTGGGCTCAGCTGGGACAACTTGCTGGACCTGTACATATAGATCTTTGTGGAATGTCAGACCAATCACATCCAAGTCATCATGGTCACAGCAAAAGGCACATGTCAACATGACAAACACTGCAGGCAAAGGAGGAACAGAGTGACCTGTCAGGCCTGAGGGGGAAAGAGGGTCTGAAATGGCTCATAGGAAGACACAGAGAGACAATGTGATATGATTGAAACAGTATAGCCATAAAGCAAACAATTAAGGGCCGGCCGAGTGGCGTGATGGTTAAGAGCTGGCTTGGGACACCAGAGGGCCCTGATTCGGATCCCATATATGAGGGCCAGTGGTACACTGCCCTCTACAGCTAAGATGCTGAACAACATCTCAACCTGGAATTGCCCTAGGCTGCAGCCACTGCTGCAGTGGGTTGCCATGGGCTACCGTGTGTATCCAGAAGCCAGCGTGAGCGGCCAGCAGCCGCAGTGAGCGGCCGTCCAGAAGCCGGCAACTGATCTGCCTCACCCGGGAAGAGCATAATGATGGTGCCAACTTGGGCCAGTGAAGCAACATCCTCCACAACTAGACTGAAGAACAAAATGACAGCAACTTGTCTGTTCCCCTTCCCCCAAATCCCCAGCACTGTTCCCATCCCCCCAATTCCCCAATAAAAATCTTAAAAAAAGAAAACAATTAATATATTTGACTGCAGTAAAATTTAAAACTTCTTTACATCAAGAGTCTTCATGAGCAATGAAACAAGCAAGATCCTGGGAGAAAATACTTGCAACCCATACAACAAACAAAAGTTTAGCATTCGAAATATATAAAGAACTCCCACAAATCTCTGAACCTCAGTTATTTCACCTGTCAGTAAGGATGCACTTTGAGCTCTCCAGACGTCATTTAGACACCACAGCATTCCTCTGAAGTATTATCTCCACTTTGTGGGTAGAGGATATAAGCTGAGAGCAATCAAGCGGAGGCCCAGGAAATCACCCCAGGCCTGTCTGACTCCAAAGCACAGACATGTGCGAGCCCAATCTTAACTCACAGGGCAACTGCGAGAAGTTGATGTATAAGAAATTCCTTTAGAAAATGTAAAGCGATTACAGATGATAATGACGCTGCTGATGATGATGGTGATGATGATGAAAAGAAGAATATTGGCAGAAATGGAACAGTTAAGTATTTATGACTTCTCTCTCACTGCCTTTTTAAAATTAAATTTTTAATTTTGAGATCACTGTGGTTTCACATGCCGTTGTAAGACATAATAGAGATTCCTGATAGATTTTTGTTAAACAACACTTCATTCACACAACCACATATACTGCACAACAATTGGCCTTTAATCACTTAATGGTATAGAGTAAGCATATCTTACATCAACAAATGCACCTTGATAAAAAAAATTAGGAAATATGATGTAAATAAGATTGTCTTCATCAAAGTAACAAAACACATAAAATATCTAAGAAATTCAGTTAAGAAATATACACAATTTAAGTGAATAATAATATCAAACTCTACTAAGGGACATAAAGATTAGAATAAAAAGAGAAAACCACGTGATATTCCTGAATCAACATGAATTTTTTTAAAACTAAAGATTTCTTTCTGTAAAATTATTCTGAAGGTTCTGCAGGAATGTGAAAAAATGATTTAGGTTTTAGAAATAAACAGAAATTGAGACTCTTTAGTTGGGTAATTTACTGGCTATTCTCCAAAGTTTCTCTGATATTTAAAACTGGGTGGACTGCTTATCCATACTGCTTAATCCGAGAGATTAAGGCTATTTTATTTCACAATATCTATAGGATACACCTGGACTAGTATTCACCAATTTGTTCTGAGCCTTTTTGAAACGAAACCCAATTTTCAACTGAGTTGGATCACAGAGTAAGAATTAAAAGTAAAAAAAAAAAAGCAGTGAAAAAATATTTCAGTGTAATCTTGATCTCTAGTGCTGTGGCCAGAGTAATGTCTCTTGCTGTTACTTGCTATAGTTATTCTATAGTTATTGGTTTTTTAAAAAGATTTTTATTGGCGATTGGGGGAAGGGGAACAGGCAAGTTGCTGTCGTTTTGTTCTTCAGTCTAGTTGTGGAGGACGTGGCTTCACTGGCCCAAGTTGGCACCATCATTGCGCTCTTCCCGGGCGAGGCAGATCAACCACCGGCTTCTGGACGGCTCATTCCCTCTTTCAACTTAGGTCCATGGTCCTCTCAGTAGGAAGAAAGTACATCTGGCAGGTCTTTAATTCATTATTATGACTGAACTTAAATCACTGTCTCTTTTCCCGGGGTATGAGCATTTCTTGATTAAGGTATAATTTATGAACAGGAAAATGCACGAATGTTAATTGCACAGATTGACGAATTTTTACCTACTGTGGTAGGCTTACTATGACCCCCAAAGATATCAGGCCCTAATTCCTGGAAGCTATTAATGTCACCTTATATGGCAGAAGGGACTTTGCAGATGTAATTCAATTAAGGATCCAGAGATGAGATTATTCTGGGTCATCTGGGTGGGCCCTAAATGTCATCACTAGTCTATAAGAGGGAGGCAGAGGCAGATAGAAAAAGACTTGACTACAGAGACAGAAGGAGATGTGAGGACTGAAGCAAGATGCTATGCTGCTGGCTTCAAAGACGGAGGAAGGGGCCACAATCAATGAGTGCAGCTCTAGAAGCAGGAAAAGGTAAGGAAGCAGCTTTCCCCAGAGCCTCTCAGAGTTGAAGGTGACTGCTGCAGCTCAGGTATAGCCCTGCTGACACCTTGACTTTGGCCCAGTGAAACTGATTTTGGACTTCTGACCTGCGGAACTGGAAGAGAATATATGTGTTGTTTTAAGCCACTGAGTCTGTGCTAACCTATTACAGCAGCAATAGGAAACGAACAGTAATGTATACACACATGTACCCACCACTCAGATCAACGTATAGAACATTTCCATGTCTCCAGAAAATTGCCTTGTGCCACTTCCAGTTAGTCGTCTCCCAAAGAGAGAGCTATCACCAGTTGCATTTTGACCAAGAGCATTTGCATTTTACAAGGAGGCAAGTGGAAGAAGGCAAAGGAAGTCACCCGTAAATCTGGAGTCTAGCCCCCATGATTGATGGGCAGTATTTTCAGGTCCTTACCACCCTCACTCTGCACAGCCCAGTGATTTCCCTAACCGGGGCTTCCAGTCAGGAAATGATGATCACATCTCTGGGCGAAGAAAGGGTGTGTTATATTCACTAAGGGGGTGCAGCAGACAGATTGGTTATCAACATAATAGCCATATCCTCCTTCCTTTTTGTGGGCAGAATCCCATTCTTTAGGTACTCTACCCCCCTCCACATGGTATTCTGATCCTCTAAGTCCGCCATGGTCATTTCAGCCCCCTTTCCAGTGCTGGTTTCATTCTAGGCATGATGAAATTCAGGCCACTGAGATGTGAAGGGGCGTATGCTACGGGTATTCTGGAAAAGGTTTCCTGAGTGATTAAAAGAAGCATCCAGGGACACAGGCCTTCCTGTCCTGCTACTGAACATCACCTTGTTCGGATGCTGCAGCAGCCAGCTTCTGATCATGACAGTTGCTAAACAACATGCTGAGGGATGCAGATCAGAATGACGGAAAGAATCAGGATTCTTTAGGGCATTGCTGAACTGCCGAATTAGCCAACTCCAAAGCTGACCACTCCTGGACTTAGATGCCAGAGAATACACTTCCTTGTTTTCAAGTCAGCTGAGTTGGAATTTTCTGTTATTGCAACTGAAAGCATACCAGCAGACTTCAGTGGGTTCTGGGTGAGGGCTCTGGGTCTGCTGTGAGGGCGGGAGGGCTGGGAGGAGATGAACAAAAACACAAATGAGGACAACGAGGCATTATGTGCCATAATCCCAGTAGAAATCAAGTGTGATAAGAATGTGAGAGAGGTTCTGATTAGAGAGAGATCTGTATGCTGGAGTCTCATTGTTCATTATAATTATTCATAACTTGTAAATTAAATCATGAGAGTGGATGTTGAGAGAGCGGGGATTAAGGGGGAAGGAGGAGAGGGGAGGAGAGCAGGGGAGTGGAGAGTTGCTCTAGGAGTAAGCCTTGGGGAAGGGACCCATTTGGGGGAAGGAGGACACAGAGGAACCAGGAAAGGAGTTTGAAGGAACATCCAGAGGAACAGGAGAAGCAGAGACAGAAATGAGGAAGAGAGCGAGCTGGGCCACTGTACTGGGCAGAAGTCATTCCTTCTGGCCCTGGTGACAAGCTAATAGCTCCTGGATGGGGAATGTTGGGTGGGGTCTTTTCCTGAAATAGCCACTGGGTGGCAGTGGTGGCGGCAGCAGCTGCTGCAGCAGCTGTGTCCAGGGACTAGCAGAAACCTGGCGGAGAGCTAAGCCAGTTCAAAGCAGCGGGAGCTGGAAGCTGGCTCAGACTGAGGCTTTCCTAGTGTAGTGGACACTGGACTGTCCCTTTGTGTGCGCGCCAAGCCTCCAGTCACAATTGTCCTCCTTTGAAGAGGCCAGCTTCATCCCCGGGAGCAAAGTCACGGTGCACAATGCTTTATAGACTAAGCAGCATTTTGTGGTTTACAAAGTGCTTTCACACCTATTAAGCAGGAACCCCTAAAAGGCTGGTATTATTATCCCCATTTGACTGGTGAGGAAACTAAGTTACAAAGAGGTATCCAGGGTCACACAACTGGTACGTGGAAGAACAGGATTTGAATTCAAGTCCATCTGGCTCCAAACACCTGGACCTTTTACGCAATATCACAGCAGTCGGCTGTGCAGGACCCAAGCAATGACCACTTTCTCCATGCCTACCTTTCACCTGCTCCCCCCACCCTACACAGGACAAGCACCTCCACGTTTCCCCCATCCAGGTTCCTGGGCCTTCCAGGTGTTCTAGATTCTAGAGCCTCCTCCTCTCACTCCCAGGATCCAGCTGGGCAACATTCTTAGCACCCGAAGATCAGGTTAAGAGTCCCCATTGCTTCCCACCTCCCTTCAGAGTGGATTCTGCTCCAGCCTGTCCCCCCCACCCTGCCCCAAGCACTACCCAGCTCATCCTCAGGTCCTCCAGGCCCCCTGTGCCTGACACCTCCATAATCACAAAGCCATACTTAGCCCCAGGAGCCCCAGGCCCAGGACTCCTGACAATTGGACATTCCCTAGCCTTTGGCTCTCAAACATCTAGGCTTGGTGTCTGCTTTCTCTCCTGTGTTTAGAGCAGTCTCCTGGGGTAATAGAGAGAAGTGAGGGGTGGTGTGTAGAAAGGGGTGGCATCTAAGGGAAGCTTGTTGCCTAGTATCTATGGGGAGGAGTGAAGTGCCCCCTTGCTGCTCCCTCACCATCTCCTCTTACGTGGGAAATAGGCATGTTGAAATATTAACAGGCTGAAAACCTCCAGGTCTTTCCTCAAACCTGCTCCTGTCGCAGCTGTCCCCATCTCGGTCAGCAGTGAGCATCTCCATTCTTCCAGTTGCTCAGGTCAGAAATCTTGTTTCCCAATGTGTATACTGAGTGGGTTGGACCAGATAATCTTGACAGGCCTTCCCAGCTCTGACAGTCTCCCAGGGTGGGAGGAGGGACAGGCCCCACCCCCAACCCCGCCCCCTTGGATATGCCCTCTGGCTGCCAAGGGGAAGGGTGACAGAGTCAGCTGGGCTCAGCTTCAAGGGGACCAGGTAGGAGACTTGCCAAGTTTCTTGGGTAAGGGTGGTGATGGGGCTTCTGGGCTGGACCAGGCATCAGAGGTAACCGTAGTACAGACACTGAAGGCAGGGTGAGGGGAAAGGTGAAGTCACCACGTGCTCTCTTCACAGAGACACAGTTGCTGTGACCAACTGGGAGACCCTTGGGCTCAGGGCATCTTCCCACACTGGAGAGTCCTGGAGGACCTCCACCCCTTCAGCTAACCAAGCTCTGAAGGGCAGTCAGCTGTAGAATGAGAACAACCCAGACCACCAACTGCCCTCCCGAGCCCCAGCACTCTCCTGGCTGGACTAGGGGAGCTCAGTCTGGGGCCCGGCTGCCATGGGCTGCACCCAGATTTACTCCTCCCAGCTCCCACTGAGGCTTCAAACATCTCCCTCCCCACTGTCTGTTTTTGTTGTTTGTTTTTTTTCACCCCAGGTCACGGCTGGGGAGGGGTGGGTGGGTAAGGGAATCCAGCACCTCACCTCTGCCCTTTCCACCTCTAGGGGGACCATGGCCAGTGCAGAGTCCTCACTGCTCACAACCCTAGGCCCCAGCCCAGATCCGGGCAAAAGTGAGGTGGAGCTGGACTGCTGGTTTAATGAGGAGTTCAAGTTCATCCTGCTGCCTGTGAGCTATGCAGTTGTCTTTGTGCTGGGTCTAGGCCTCAATGCTCCGACCCTCTGGCTTTTCCTCTTTCACCTCCGACCCTGGGATGCAACAGCCACATACATGTTCCACTTGGCCTTGTCAGACACTTTGTATGTGCTGTCACTGCCCACCCTCGTCTACTATTACGCAGCCCGCAATCATTGGCCCTTTGGTACCGGGCTTTGCAAGTTCACTCGCTTCCTGTTCTATTGGAACCTCTACTGCAGTGTCCTTTTCCTCACGTGCATCAGTGTGCATCGCTACATGGGCATCTGCCACCCGCTGCGGGCACTGCGCTGGGGACGCCCGCGCTTTGCGGGCCTTCTCTGCCTGGCAGTTTGGTTGGTTGTAGCCAGCTGCCTTGTGCCCAACCTGTTCTTTGTCACAACCAGCACCAGGGGGGATACCATCTTGTGCCACGACACCACTCGGCCCGAGGACTTTGACCACTATGTGCACTTCAGCTCAGTTATCATGGTGCTGCTGTTCGGTGTGCCCTGCCTGGTCACTCTCGTCTGCTATGGGCTCATGGCCCGACGCCTGTACCGGCCTCTGCCAGGGGCTGCCCCGCCGTCGTCTCGGCTGCGTTCTCTCCGCACCATCGCGGTGGTGCTCACCGTCTTTGCTGTGTGCTTCGTGCCTTTCCACATCACCCGCACCATTTATTACATGGCAAGGCTGCTGGAAGCTGACTGCCAAGTACTGAACATCGTCAATGTGGTGTACAAGGTGACCCGGCCACTGGCCAGCGCCAACAGCTGCTTGGACCCCGTGCTCTACCTGCTCACCGGGGACAAGTACCGAAGGCACCTGTGGCAACTTTGCAGTGGTGGTGCGCCCCAGCGCCCCATGGCAGCCTCCTCCCTGGCGCTGGTGTCCCTGCGTGGAAACAGCAGCTGCAGGTGGACAGACACACACCTAGGGCAGCAGGCTGCAACACTGGAAGCCTGCAATGGGGAGGAAAGGGGGTGAGTGCAGGGCAGAGGTGAGGGAACCTAATCATGACACCTGACATGGCTGCTTCCTCCTCTTCTCCAGGTTCTGCTGACAGCCCCTCCCCTTGAGGGTTAGGGGGCACCAGGAAATAATCTGTGGCCCCATCTCTTGTAAACCCTTCAGTTGCCCTCTACTTTTTAGCCAAAGGCAGAAGCACCAGCCACTCTCTTTCTTCACTTCTTTCTCTTTGTTTCTGTCCCCTTCCTGGGGTCATTGGTCCTGTTTCTTGACCCTCTGAGGCTTCCTGGACATCTTCCCCTGTCCTCCCCCTCCCCCCACCCCGGGGCTTTGTATAGCATGCCAGACCACAGCATTCAACCCAAGGGGTGGAGAAGCTGGACTAATCTCGGATTGGCCTGACTTATCTGATAGCCAGAATCAGGAAGTAGGGCCACCAGTATATCACAGATGTCAAGGATGTGACATGTAGTGCCCACACCCACTTACTGCTTTTCTTTTGCAATCTGGATAGTCTGGCCTCCCGAGGTGCTCAAATAGGGCACAGTCCCAGAGGGCCTGCAAGCCAGGGTCCCCACTTGCAGCTGGAGGCATGGTGCTGTTGAACTTGTGTGTAGCCAATAGGTAGAGAGGGAACCCTGAGACTTACCATGGGCTGGGGACCCTGAGGAGCCTCATGGGGCAGGGCCCCAGCTGATAAGGGCCTTTGGAACAGGAATGGGACTGGATCTCCTTTATGATGTTTGCTGAGAGCATATTTGACAGTTGTCCTGTACTTAATGAAAGGAAACGGGGATGGCTCAGAGTGACAGGGAGGAACGCTTGCGTCTCTGGCTGTAAGTTCCGGCACAGAGGGGTTGAGCAGGTTTGTGCAGAGCTGGGGTGGTGACAGTGATGGATGCCAGAGCCGGTTCTTCACAAGTCTCTCCCCTTTCTCTAGCTCCTGCCCTAGATAAATAAGAAATCTGTCACCAGGTCTTTCAAAGCAGGCTTTAGGGTTTCGAAGCCAGGGCAGGGCACTGGGGCTATGACAGCTCCCTTTAGTCTCCCATCTAGTCACCTCCCCCTGTCCCCAGCCTCATCTTAGTGCATACAGGCTTATGGGAGTGGGGGGTGTAGGACTTGGGAAGCTGACTCCCAAGCCTTCTGGGCAGGCCTTTTGTAGAAGGGTGGGCTCATAATCCCGGGCACCCGCCTCTGAAACCTCCTTCCAGTTTGCTGGTCTTCCAACTCTCCAGCCTTCCTTTCTTTTGCCCTCACCGTGCTGACCTGCCTCTGATCTTACTTGTCTATTAGTTTCAAAGGGGTCTCTCTGAAGAGTGAGTGCGGGGCTAGTGCACAGAAATCAAATGACTTGCGGTGCTCCTGTGCCTGCCCCCTTTGCATTCTTTTAGGTGGTCCCTCTTCTAGCTGCTATTCTACTCATCTTATCCATTTCACTGTCATGACTACAAAGAGTACCATAAACCCCATTTCCTCGCCACAAGTCAGCCCTTAACTCTCTGAGTCTGATTTCCTTCTGATACTTTTCTGTGCTTGGAAGAACACAAATTACCTCATAAGCAAGATCTTTAATGCTTTTCTCCAACTTCACCCCCTTTCACTTTTCTAGGATATCCCTGTTGCATGTCTTCTTTAAAGATGTTTATAAAGACAACACTAAAAAATTCCACTATGACAACATTAAAGGAAATTTTGAAAGGAAATATTTACTGTACTTTCAAACACTAGACAATTCTTTTTCTCTTTTTCATGTTCCATGCTTTTTCAGTTTGTATGATACCTACATATATGTTTTATATAAGTGTAATCATAGTGTGCACATATTTTTTTAATTCTGCAAAAAAAACCCGTTTTATTGTAAATACTCTGTGCTACACAGTTTTTTATATTTATCATTTCAATGGCTGCATAAAATTACATACATCAGTAGATTATATTTTATTCAGTGACTCCCTTATTCTTCGACATTAAGGCAACTTCCAATTTTTTTCTGTGCTTTGAACATTTTAATGCATATAGCTTTTTTCTTCTTTGTAATTCTGTTCCTAGGACAAGTTCCCAAGAGTGGGATTACCAGATCAAAGAACGTGAATGTTTTTATGGATCTTGATTTTCCAAAGGACTGCACAAATTTTCAGCACCACAGTGACACATGAACGTTCTAGTTCCTGTGCAGCTCTAGCATTGGACTTGATAACAAATCTTTTTGGATGGCTTAAACATTAATTTGTTAATTTCATTTCTTTGACTACTAACGGGATTGAATACTTTCCCATATTTACTGTTTGCGTTTCCTCTTGTGTGAATTGTCTGTTCATATGCTTCTTAATTGGCATCTTAGTGGGATTCATATATATGTAAATATATTTTTTATTTAACATACATATTAACCCTTTGTCATATTTGATAGAACTATTTCCTCCATTTATTGTAATATTTTTACCTTTTATTTCCTTATTTTATCCCCCTGCTTTAAAATTTCTCTTTTCCTACTTTTATCCCTTCTTACTTCCTCTCTCTCTCTCTTTTTAAGATTTTTATTGGGGAATTGGGGGGATGGGAACAGTGCTGGGGAATTGGGGGAAGGGGAACAGACAAGTTGCTGTCGCTTTGTTCTTTCTAGTTGTGGAGGATGTTGCTTCACTGGCCCAAGTTGGCACCATCATTGTGCTCTTCCCGGGCGAGGCAGATCCGTCGCCAGCTTCTGGACGGCTGCGCACTGCGGCTGCTGGCCGCTCATGCTGGCTGCTGGCTGCTCACACTGGCTGCTGGCTACACATAGTAGCCCATGGCAACCCACTGCCACAGGGGCTGCAGCCTACACCGTCGCCGGCGACTCACAGCAGCCCAGCTCCAGGTTGAGCTGTTGTTCAGCATCTTAGCTGTGGAGGGCAGTGTCACTGGCCCTCATATGTGGGATCCGAACCGGGGCCCTTTGGCATCCCAAGCCAGCTCTTAACCATCGCGCCACTCGGCCGGCCCACTTCCTCTCTCTTTGATGGCTTCTCTTTATCTTTTACTCCCTAAAGGAAGCAGACTTCCAACTTCTGTCATAGTTATAGCATTTGGGGATTATTTAGTCCCCTCCCCACATGACCCTTGAGTTTCTCTTGGAGAGAGCATATATGCACGTGGATACAATTCAGTTGACTCATAGCCCATGACAGTATCTCAGAAATCTAAGGCTTGGGCACTCCTTCACCTTACAGAGGACAAAACAGGCTCAGAGATATGACCTAGCAAATTAGTGGCAGAGCAGGAACTGGGCTTCCGGTCTCCTGACTCCCAGAGATCCTCTATTAAACCATGCCAACTCAATTCTAGGCCTGAACTTTCTCCCAAACTCTCACTGGACAGTTTCACTTGGATCTTCCGTTATCATACCTAACCCAAGATGTCAAAAACGAAACTCCTTGAACCAATTTCCCTACCTGTCTTGCTCATTTATGTTAATGGCATCTTCTTTCCTCAAGTCTCCTAGGCCTGAGAACTCTCAGGCAACTTTGACTCTTCTCCCTCTCTGTTTCACAAGATTCTGGCATTTTTGTCTTCATCGTGTCAATTACAATTAGCCTTCCTTTATGATCCCAGTGCTAACATTTTAATACTGACTTTTGTCACCTTATCCTTGACTGATTGTCCCTGCCTCCTAACTAGTCTTCTGTCTCTCCTCATAGGAATGCATCCTATACGGCACACATTGCCAAATTAATTGGCCCAAACATGGCTTTAACAGTTTCACTCTCTTACTCAAAACCCTTTCATGGATTGTCTACAAGACAAGTCGAAATTCTTTTTTTTTTTTTAAAGATTTTATTGGGGAATTGGGAAGGGGAACGGTGTTGGGGAATTGGGGAAGGGGACCAGCCAAGTTGTTGTCCTTCAGTCTTAGTTGTGGAGGGCGCAGCCAGCTCAGCTCCAAGTCCAGTCACCATGCGGCCACCTGTTAGCAGCTTCTGACCGCTCAGCTGGGGCGCAGCTCACTGGCCCATGTGGGAGTCGAACCGGCGACACTGTTGCTCAGAGCTCGCGCTCTTAACCAACTGAGCCACTCGGCCAGCCCCAAGTCAAAATTCTTTAGTCAGAAATTCAAGAGGGCCTTTTCCATCTAAGTTTCCATTCTTCTCCAATATGAATCTGTCTTCTCCAGCTAATTTGATCTCCTCATTCTTTTCCCAAATAAGACTTGCGCTTTGTCTCCTCTGCACCTTTATTCTGCCTATCCCCCACACTAGAATACCCTCCCTTTCTCTTCTCACTTTCTTTTTCCTACCCAGTTTCCAAAGTCATGCTTAAGTCTCAATTCGTCTTGGAGGTCTTCTCTGCTGACTTACCCACTGAACTTCCTGGTCACTCCTACAATAATTTATGTCTACATCAGTCATCTGGCACTTTTATTGTCTTTTGATATTACTTATACTATTATTTTGAATTGCTATTTAACTCTTCATGTATGTTTGTTTTGAGTTCCCACCTGTAAACCCCTTGCGTTGCTGTGATAGAAAGGAAAGAACATAGGACTGAAAATCAGAAGACCCAAATTTGAACCCTGGTTATAAAGTGGGCTCAAGTAAGTCACTTGGGCGAGTCACTCAGACTCTCTGAGCCACGATTTGATCATCTGTAAAATGAGGATCATCATCTCAGTGGTGTGTACTTCAGATTGTGGTGAGGCTCTGCAAATCTAGAGCAATAAGCAAATCTAAACAATTGTCCTTATATCATCCCATTCGCTCAATAAATGAGTAAGGCTAACCTGGAAGTGGAGAGGAGAAGAACGTGGCACATCTCAGCTTCCACTTTCCCCACATTTTTTACTACTTCATCCCATAATCCCTAAGTGGTTAGGGCAAATGCTTCACCTAGGACTCCATTCTCCTTCACTGATGTGATGAAAGTCAGCATTTTGGTGAAGGAGGTGATGAGGAGGAGTAGAAAAAACAAGCAATTTTAGTCAGATAACCAGACTTGGCTTTGAATCCTTGATCTGCTACTCACTAGCTGTGTGATCTCAGACAAGTTGCTTAATCTCTCTGAGCTTCAGTTTCCTCATTGGTAAGTTGGGGATAGTAATACCTATTTGGCAGGGCTATTGGGAAGTGTTGGTGGA